TTGTCTGGTTGCCGAAAGGGGTTTCCCGAGGTTGCTGATTGGCTGGAGGTTCAGTCTTGGGAAGCCAGTGGTTGGGCATTGGCTGGTGTCGCGGAGCTGTGGTCTGCAGTTGAAGTTTTATACAGCACTCTTTCGAAGATGCGGCGTTAGGCAAACTTAACTCAAAACACGAAACTCTCAACGGAAAATAAAATAAACTAAAGTAAAGAAATAGAAGTTTGATGAGACCAGGTGGCGTTTCTCCTCATGGTTTTGGAGGAGATGGCCAGGGGCCTGTTCGGCTTCCTGGGTTGTTACAGAGTATTTGTTAATTCTAGCTAACAAAATATATATTGTGTGTTTGAGTGGTCCAGACGCTACAGCTGTTAAGGACTAGTGCATCTTCGAGCCTACATTTAATACGAGTAAAATACTTAAGTACTGTTTAATAATATATGTCGTATTGGAATGAGTGACTTGTAACTTGTAATGGAGTCATTTTCACTGTAAGGTATCTGTACTTTTACTCAAGTATGGTTTTCAGGTACTCTTTACACCTCTGAATAGTTTATTAGTGATTCATGCTAATGTAGCTGTTAGACAAACATACATTTCATGAGCAATGTATAAGTAAAATTTTTTTAGCTAATATTTTCATTGTTACCAAATACCAGATAGCATGAATGTTTATTCATAACCCAACGTTCCCTGCTAGCTCGGTATCCATTAGCATTCCCATTCATCTTAATAGCAATTGCTTAGTTGGTGCAGGACCCAAGGATATATATATATATATATATATATATATATACAGTGGGTACGGAAAGTATTCAGACCCCCTTAAATTTGTCACTCTTTGTTATATTGCAGCCATTTGCTAAAATCATTTAAGTTATTTTTTTTCCTCATTAATGTACACACAGCACCCCATATTGACAGAAAAACACAGAATTGTTGACATTTTTGCAGATTTATTAAAAAAGAAAAACTGAAATATCACATGGTCCTAAGTATTCAGACCCTTTGCTCAGTATTTAGTAGAAGCACCCTTTTGATCTAATACAGCCATGAGTCTTTTTTGGGAATGATGCAACAAGTTTTTCACACCTGGATTTGGGGATCCTCTGCCATTCCTCCTTGCAGATCCTCTCCAGTTCTGTCAGGTTGGATGGTAAACGTTGGTGGACAGCCATTTTTAGGTCTCGCCAGAGATGCTCAATTGGATTTAAGTCAGGGCTCTGGCTGGGCCATTCAAGAACAGTCACAGAGTTGTTGTGAAGCCACTCCTTCATTATTTTAGCTGTGTGCTTAAGGTCATTGTCTTGTTGGAAGGTAAACCTTCGGCCCAGTCTGAGCTCCTGAGCACTCTGGAGAAGGTTTTCGTCCAGAATATCCCTGTGCTTGGCCGCATTCATCTTTCCCTCAATTGCAACCAGTCGTCCTGTCCCTGCAGCTGAAAAACACCCCCACAGCAGGGTGCTGCCACCACCATGCTTCACTGTTGGGACTGTATTGGACAGGTGATGAGCAGTGCCTGCTTTTCTCCACACATACCGCTTAGAATTAAGGCCAAAAAGTTCTATCTGGATCTCATCAGACCAGAGAATCTTATTCAGGTGTTTTTTAGCAAACTCCATGCGGGCTTTCATGTGTCTTGCACTGAGGAGAGGCTTCCGTCGGGCCACTCTGCCATAAAGCCCCGACTGGTGGAGGGCTGCAGTGATGGTTGACTTTCTACAACTTTCTCCCATCTCCCGACTGCATCTCTGGAGCTCAGCCACAGTGATCTTTGGGTTCTTCTTTACCTCTCTCACCAAGGCTCTTCGCCCCCGATAGCTCAGTTTGGCCCTGTATATATAATATATATATATATATATATATTTTTTTTTTTTTTCAGTATGTGAATTATATTATCATTACCACCACAACAGAGACTAAGCATTTGACTAAAAACAGCTTTGAAAGGCCTAATGGGGGACATAAACAGAATTAGAAAAAATAATAATAATATTACCCAAAGTGGCAACACATTTCTTCTGAGCAAGTAAAAGCAAAACATTTAGCAAAACCAAACATGGTTACTGGTGTTGTGCCAATAATTGGACTTTTGATCCAGACACCAGTACATTTCTTTATTTTCACAGAAGCTCCTCACTGATGCTCCAAAAAGATGGATGCCAACTAACAGAATGAACAGATCAGACAAATTATACAAAGACATTTTTAGTGAGACACATTGATGTTAACAAGCCATTTTGTTTATGGGTTCAGGTTTGGTGTGTTAATGCTGGAATGAATTTTGCCCAGATTTTTGCCTTAAATTGCAGTCTGGAAGAGTCAACGATAGTTGTCGAAAGTCAGAGCCTGTCAGCAGATTTTTGATGCGACACAAATGATACTGGTAGGTCACAAGACAATGACAACATGTTGAATGTAGTATGTCCAGATTACATTCATACTACACACATTAATACTACATTGAATGTACTCTTTTTAAAGTTGCAAAGTAATTACATATTCAAAAAAGTACCTACTCAAGAGAGTATGCGATTTCAGACAAAGCCAATGCTACCTCGCCATTGACAATTTTCCGGCTTTACGTGTTTCACTTTTATACTGTAGGGGGCGCTGTTACAATCTTATGAAAGAGTACTAAATCTCTTTCATAAGAGTATATGATCATGTATGCAGAAGATGCATATGTAAAATAACATTAAATTACATCTAACATTAAACAGCATATACGTAAATCAAAACCCATGAAGTGGTGTGGGACTGTGCAAGCTTTAGGGATGTTGATGGAAGTGGTCTACTCCATCTATGTTTTGATCATCAATCTGAATTTGATGCAGATGTAATCTTAAAAAAAAATGTTTCTCTGATTTTGGTTCAAAATGTTGCTTTTGTCATTAAATTTACCCACATTTGAGTGTTGATAAAAAAGCCAGAATTTATATTAAAGGGGTCATAGGATGTTACATGCACTTTTACAAGTTGTTTGAACTGAAATGTGTGTTGACAGTATGTGTACACAACCACCCTATAATGATAAAAATCCACTCAGTGTTTTTTTTTAATCTACTAAAATCTTTACCCCTTTATCAAATCGAACCAATCTCAGATGCCTGTCTGTGTGACGTCACATGATAGTTTGATTGACAGTAGCGTTTCAGCACAGACTGGACTGGTGTCTTACCTTAGACCCGCCCTGAGTGAGCTGTCATCAGTCTGCCATTGTTTCACTGCTGGAGCAGATGTAGACAAGAATGACTCCTAAGTGATTGAGGTGTTCTGTTGTTGGATGTAATAATGAACATAGTAGTGGTAATTTATTCCCGACATCTGAGCCGCTGAAGACGTGGTGGTTTACGTTTGTTTCTGAATGGAATGCATTGATCCCCGATCTACATAAATACATTTATGTTCGCGCAAATCATTCATGATCAGGCCTCACCTACAGAAGTAGTGAGTATAAGGTTTTTTTAATGAATCTTTGCAAATCACCTTTCTTAATAATGTGCAAAATTTGCAAGTTTCACGATGAATACGGCTAAAGTAAACAGTCTCTCTGAGAGCAGCTCAGAAAAGAGGGGCGGGGTCAGCGTAGCTCATTAACATTTAAAGGAAAATGCTACAAAACTGCGTGCTCTGAAAAGAGCTGTTTTTTACACTACCATTGAGAAATTTTAACCAAACTATGTTACAGACTTTTCATTAAGACCCTAAAGAATCATATCAACTTGTGGAAAATGAGCATCAGATGACCCCTTTAAGTAATGGCTTTGTTCTTGCTATTGGCATGTTGCTTGTTCAGATATTCATGCAACAAAATAGTCTGGGGGCCATGAAAATTAAGTGAAAATTATCAAATTATATAGTGGTGACTGGCAATAATTTTTTTTAAAAAGGCGGGGAAAAGGTTCACCATTTACATAGACTACAATTTGCAATTATGTTACAGGAATCACAGGGGTAGATGTTAGAAAGTTATAAGTTCAAAAATTCCATGATTGAGTGTATTTAATGATTCACAAGTTTTCAAATTTGAATAAAAGCAAGAATTGAAAAAGAAAAAAAAAATATTGTATTGTCCTACGTCTTCCTTCACAAATTCAGTGAATTTAAAGGCTTGAATCAAACCGAAGCTCTTTCTACATACTGTAAGCCATTCAACACAAGATTTGGTGAGATTAGCTCAAGTTGTCCACACTGAAAAAAAATTTGTGGTGTTGTAAAATATATTAAATGAATCATCAAAAATTCTACTTGTAATATTAAAAATCAAGGAGAACAACAATTTTCTAAGTAAAATGTACACATTTAATTCATGTAATTAATGAACTGCGTGAGAAGAGTAACTCTTATTAATATTTACTTGTAATAGTTACATTATTTATAGTCATTGCACATAAATCTGTTCCATGCTGAAATACACTACTTTTAAAATATGACCAGATTTTAAAACACTAGGCATCATACACTCACCGACTTTGTAAACAGTCACAGAGGAAAAACTGGCCATCATACATTAAACAATGGAGGATCATACAGTACCGATCACAAAAATCGCACAAAATTTGCATCCTTATTTTTATCTCATGTAGGCTATTGTAAAATTATTTTTGAAATAGGCACTGAGGTCCACCCTATGTTACTCAGGTCCACTCAATTTAAAATGTCTGGCCTCGCCACTGGTACACTCACAATATCAACAAAATAAAGAAAACAAACAGGGTGCGCTTTCAGCCATCTCAGTCTCCGCTTAGACAAATATTCTCTGATGAAGTAATCCGTGTGAAAGCAACGCAAGGTTCAGTCTTTCCCATCTGAGCTCAATATCTGTAGTGTCAATATGCCCACGTGGGTCAAATTGATATTTATACATCATCTGAAAGCTGAATAAATAATCTTTCCATTTGGTGTAAGGGTTGTTAGGATAGGACAATATTTGGCCGAGATACGACTACTTGAAAATCTGAAATATGAGGGTGCAAAAAAATCTAAAATTGAGAAAACTGCCTTTAAAGTTGTCCAAATGAAGTCCTTAGCAATGCATATCACTAATGATAATACATTTGTGATATATTTACAGTAGGAAATTTACAAAATATCTTCATGGAGCATGATCTATATTTAATATCCTAATGATTTTTGGCATAGAAGAAAAATCGATCATTTTGACACATACAATGTATTTTTGGCTATTGTTACAAATATACCCGTGCTACTTACATTTACATTACATTTACATTTAGTCATTTAGCAGACGCTTTTATCCAAAGCGACTTACAAATGAGGACAATGGAAGCAATCAAAATCAACAAAAGAGCAATGATATGCAAGTGTTACAACAAGTCTCAGTTAGCTTAAACGCAGTGCACATAGCAAGGTTTTTTTTTATATAATAAATAAAATAAAGAATACAGCAAGCTAGTGTTAGAGTCCTTTTTTGCTTTTGATAATTGTATAATAAATAAAAAGAAAACAAATAGATAGAATACAAAAAAGATAAAGCTAGTTTTTTATATATATAAAAAAATTAGAATAGAGAGTGCTAGAGTTAGCGAGTCAAATAAGATGGAAGATATTTGTTTTTAGCCAGTTCTTGAAGATGGCTAAGGACTCAGCTGCTCGGAATGAGTTGGGCAGGTCATTCCACCAAGAGGGTTTTAATTTAAATTACTTATGACAGGTTTTGTGGTCCAGGGTCACATATCGTATGTTCATCAATACTGTTTTCAAATGTTATCAGAACCGTTTTCAATGTATTAAGGTTTTTTTTCTGTCTTTAATGCTCACACAGTTAAGCCAGCATACACATATATACCCTACACTCAGCAATAAATGTTGTATATAAAACACTGTATAGGCACATTTAAAGATACATTTTTCATTGTTAGGCAGGTTTATACTAAGAATGTTACGTTTTAGTAATGGATTAAATCTTTAAGTCAAGTTGCTGTTTTCATGCCTTTGTAATATTTTTCAGTCAATATTAAATTACTGAAAGAACTACAATTTTCACTTTGAAGTATATTTTTTTAGGTTTGATATGTTTTCAAAGTAACTTGAAAGTAAAGTAATTACTAATCTGATTACTTTTTTACATTAAATTAAAATTTTCAAGTAGTAATGAGTAATTTGTAATCAGTTACTTTTTTTGAGTAACTTACCCAACACTGAATGTAATATAGCCTATAACACTGTTTATTTTTAAAGGGAACATCGGATGCCCATTTTCCACAAGTTGGTATGATTCTTTAGGGTCTTCATGAAACTTCTGTAACATACTTTGGTTAAAATTCCTCAATGGTCGTATAAAACAATGGCCTTTTTACCTCGTCAAAAACAACTCTGTTCACAGCGATTCTTTTTGGTGCGTTTTTAAATGATAATGAGCAACAGCTCACCCCACCCCTCTCTGTTGTGGGGCGTGTCGATACAAGACAAGTGAATTGCTGCCTTGGACTCCGTATATATATGGCTCGGAGGTGGTTGTTGTGAATTTGAACAAAACTCATGTTTCTTTTTTCAAATTTTTATTTTTTTCTTTGTACTACATCTCCCACAATTCCTAGTAACCTACATTTCCATATATGGCGCACTACATTACCCATATTCCCCTGGCTAAGGTCTATAAATAGACCTTACTTCCGTCCTCTGTCCCTTTTGCATTGGTGAGGTGGGTGTTTGAATGGACACCCAACCATGTCCTTTGAGACCTTCCCTTAGGATGCATTAAGTAAGTTTGTTTGCCAATTGTATAGTTTGAATTTGTTCATTTGGATTGTTTAGATAGTTAATCCCTATTTGGATTGAGTACAATATTGAGTTTGATTTTCTCTTTTGTATTGTTTGTAGTGACTTAAAACCATCCTGTTTATCCTGTGCATCCTGTTCATCATGTCCAGCCTAGTAGTCCTGCTCCATGTGAATTTGTAAACTTCATGTCATGTGAATTGCTAAATATTTATGCTTATTCAATCCAATGGAATAAAGGAGAGCAAATGACTGGTGTTTTTCCAGTGTTTTAATCAGCCACGCCACCAAGATTCTACAATTTAACGAACTTTGGATATTTAACATCTCATATTCAACATATGGTCCTCCGAGCCGGAGCATTACAAATTTGGTGGAATGGATTACTATGCAAGACCTCCAGTTTGGCATAGTGTAAGAATGAGAAGGCCTCCTCCCCGTTTTACAGATCATATGGTACGAGAACATGATCCTTCTCCACCTCCTTCCTTAACAACATTAGTCATAAGTGATCATCAACAAACTGATAATGGAAATCCATGTTCCTTAAAGGGGTCATATGATGCTTTTTTTTAAAGATCATTATTTTGTGTATTTGGTGTAACAGAATATGTTTACATGCTTTAATGTTCAAAAAACACATTATTTTTCAAATACTGTACATTATTGCAGGTCCTCTATGCCCCGCCTCTCTCAAACGCTTAGTTTTCTACAAAGTCCCTCCTTCCGACAAGTGCAGTCTGCTCTGATTGGCCAGCTGACCCAGTGCATTGTGATTGGCCGAACACCGCAAGCACTCGTCGGAAATGTAAAGTCCCTTACCATAATTGCGAGCTTCATCTTTCAAAATAAATGTAAAGACCGTAAATAATGTCATTAGTTTTAGCATCAGTTCAAGCCCGAAAGGGGAACAGAGTCGCGTGACAGACACAGTAATGAAGCTGGTATGTTTTTGCAGTACACAAGCCATGGTTAAGACAGCTGACTCCACTGTGATGTGACCCTGTCTCTCTCTCTCACACACACACACACACACACGCACGCGGGCACAAAACTCCGCATTTGAACAGTCAATAGCAAATACTTAAACTAATAACAAAACAGTAGCTGAGTCAGGAGCGCCAGATTGTCATAGCAAAGTCAGAATGACCTCCTCTTCTAGGTTCACGAAACAGTCGTCCATAAAATGCATTGCTGTTCTGTTGTAAGTGATCTTAAAGATTCCTAAATGCATCTACTTTCAGCAATCCAAATAAAGTGCTTTTGCTTTCGCCTAGAAACACACAGCGTCTCCCTGACATGGCTGCTTCAACACTAACTGCGGTTACTGAAACCACGCCTTCTTTCTTTGCGTGCACATTTGGGTGGCATTATGCTAATATTTCCACATAGTGAGGTAGATATGTGGGGGCGTGTTAGAACGAGCCGTTTTAGGGGGGCGTGGCAGAGTCTTAACTTTGATAAAGAATATCTCTTTGGTTTTGAGACTTTAGTCTTTGCAACTTCAGGGATCTTATCTATGCACAATCAGCTTGTAACACTCCAAAGAGAAAGGAAAACTTGAAATCGCATCATATGACCCCTTTAAGACCTGCTTCTTGCTCATCTGCTCAAGGTGAACAGTCTCAACATGACTTACTTGACATGGATGTTAAACAAGAAATACTTGGACTTAAGGCTATATTGGGTGAGATTATGTCTAGAATGTCAAAGTTAGCAGTTTCTTCTAAACATTCTGATTTATCTGAGTCTTTTGATGATGATGCTTCTGATGATGATGAGAATGCTGTTGCTAAACCACCTATTGTTCAAGAATTGTGTGCATGTATTCAGAAAGCTGAACAGAAATCTACATGTAAGCAAGGTAATTCATCAGCTGTTCCATCACCACTTTCATTGAGTAGGCCTAGTTCTCTGCCTCCCCCACCTTCTTCATTGTTACGTAGTCCACCTCAACATACACATACACCTGATACATCACAACTACAATCAGGTACTATGACCCAATCTCTTGTAGTTACAGTAGTTTCTGACCCTGTTAATACCCATTTCCCTCAAACGCAGGCATCGCAGGTGTTGGTGCAACCAGCTGGTTCACTACAGTCAGGTGCTTATTTACTAAGTAACTCTTTCTCCTCATCTATAGTTCATACTCAGTCGTCCTCTCACATTACATCAGCACAGTTACCTTCTCAGCCTCAGCTGATTCCTCATGTATCCTCAGCTAACATAGGTTATCATATGTAGCCACATTCTGTAGGTCACTCAGGGAATCTTGTTTTACAACAACCTACTCTTGTCATTCAACCAATTGTTCCCACTACCCAAGCAGCTGTAATTCCACTTCTTCATTCTCACCCATATTCCCAGCCATATTATGGTTCCCAATATGCCATTTCCTATCCTTTTTCTTGTGTTCAGGGACCTTCTTTACCTTTTTTGGTGAATGATTATCCTCAAGAATTTGCAATGTTGCAGTTAGCTCTGACAAATTTGTTGTCACCTCATGAGTCAGAGCATTACACATACTTTTTATCTTGTTGGATCATTTAAAATTCCCTCCTGCTTGCCATCTAGCTCTAGCTTATGCTAATGATCCTAGACCATACAGTATGGCTCTTTTTTGCACTACAACAGAAATATGGGCAACCCCATCAGCTAATTTTGAGGGAAATCAAAGCCATTCTAGCTCTTCGCAAGGTGAGACCAGGTGACCGCAGAGCATTTAGTAGTTGCGCACTAAAAGTTTGAGCTTTGGTTGGCATGCTCCAATCTTTGGGCCAAGGTCAAGCTAAATCTGAACTAACCTGTGCTTCTCATATACAGCAACTGCTTAGTAAGTTGCTCACAGAACATGTGACCAACTTTGCCCGCTATGCCCATGCTATCTTACGTGGTCAAAGCTACAGTCTGATTAACTTTTCTGCCTGGCTCCAAGAAGAGGCTGAATGTCAAGTGATGGCTGATCAAGTTAGTGACCCTCTAAACCCACTCCGGAGTAAACCTCAATCGAAGATCCACTCTAACACTCAAACAGTCTTGTACGGAGTTAATGGTAATTCTGATGTATCAAGATCCACGAATAAGCAACCCCAGCATCTGAGAGATCAAGAGCAGAGTTCCAAGTATTCGTGTGCATATTGTTCCAGTAGACAGCACTTAATTGGCTTGTGTCCTTCTTTCAGAGCTTTAGAAGACAACAAAAAGGATGAGTGGATTAGAGAGAACAAAATATGTTGGAGATGTGGGCTCAACCATCTAGCTGATGACTGTGACTTAAAAAAAACCCTGTCCACAGTGTAAAGGCCGACTTCTTGGTATCCTTCATGGAGTTAACTGTCATGATCAGGATAATGGTACATTCTATCTTAGTCGACTTGGAGGTTCTGGTAAGGTGCTCCTTAAAGTTGTTGAAGTACTTCTCCATCATGAAGGTCGATCCCTGCAAACGTATGCCATCCTTGATGATGGATCAGAATGTACTATGTTGCTATCTAAAGAATCTGATTATCTAGGTCTCAAGGGGGAAGCCAAGTCCCTAATTGTTAGAACCATACACCAGGATACTATTGCGCTTGAAGTCTCCTCTGTAACCTTTGAAATATCCTCAACTGCCAATCCACAAAGGAAGTATACCATTCCCAAGGCCTTTACTGCTGCCAGATTGGGACTGGCAGAACAGACATACCCTGTTGAGACTTTAACACTAGAACTGCCACGGGGTAAATTTTACCCGTGGCTGTTTTTCAAATGTACATAAAAGATTTAAAATAAAATATTCAAGTCACCCAGTCATTTACTTTTATTAAAATTATGTAATTTACAATCCAATGCTGTTAAAAATTATTTAGATAAAACCAGATAAAAAAAACTAGTTCTAGTCTGGCCATTTCCTGAATAAAAAAAAATCAGATCTATATGATGTAGTGAATAAAACCATTTTTTGATTACCCAAAGTTTAATGGTGTTCTCTTATTCAAATTATAAATTATATAACTAAACAAATTAATAAATATTTACGTCAAGCTGTGCACTTGAATTTGTCATCGCATCATCCTATGCAGTGTGGTGAATTATTATTGCTCATTATTGTCTATAGGCTATTTTTAGTAATTTAAATGCCATGGGTTATCTTAATATATTGATTAATGACAATGTATTATAATATTACACCGTCCAAATATTTAGGCCAAATATTTACCTTCTAATTTCCGTTGTCAGTGCAGGCTCTTTTTTTTTTTTAGCTTAGGCTACTGACCGTTATGCATTAGTGTAGCCTGCATTAAAAAAGTCTTGAACATAAAACAACAGGATAAAAATATAGTTGATGGCTAGACATAATAATTTCATGACTCTAGACACTTATTTGTGAATACAGTGGCATAGTACAGTGAAATAATATGTTCTTTAGCCATATAAATATAGTTGTCATGTGCATGGGTAAGATTTACCCGCTGGCACTTTTAGGCATACAGTGACCTCTGGCGGTTCTAGTGTTAAAGAGACGTTTCAGACATCTTCAAGATTTACCACTTCCAGCATTATCTAACGTTCAACCACTTATCCTTATTGGGGCAGACTATCCACACCTGATAAACCCAATTGACCAGGTGTATTTCGGACCTCCTAAATCTCCAGCCGCTATCCAGACCAAGTTGGGTTGAGTATTTCAAGGCCCAATTCCAATTACTAACACTGATGAGATGCAGTGTCTTTTCACAATCACTAATCCACTTGAGGATCTTCGCCATGATGTAGAGAAATTATGGCAATTCTTCCTTTCAGAAATGAGAAAGTCATTACTAGGTCCAAGCAGGACCAAGAAGCTATGGACTTGTCAGCCTCCAAGACCAAAAGAGTAAATGTTGATGTTGTGTAAAGATATGCCACTCCTTTATTGCATACTCCTTTTGCTGTTCAGTTATGAGCCTCACCAAATGTAGTTATTTCCACACTCAGATGTATTGAGCGCCACCTCCAAAGAAACACTGAATCTGCTGCTGTCTATGACCAAGAAATTGCCAAGTTGGAGAAGTCTGGTTATATTTCCAAAGTGGAACCTCCTCATGACTCATCCAAGGAATCATGGTATAACCCTCATCATCTTGTTGAGCATAACGGGAAACCACGAATAGTCTTCAACTGTTCCTATCAATGTAAAAGTACATCACTGAACAACCAGCTCCTTCATGGTCCAAAATTAGGATCCTCCTTACTTGGTGTCTTACTCAAATTTTGCCAGTATCCAGTAGCCATTAGTGGTGACATAAAATCTATATTTCACCAAATTAGGCTACTACCAGAAGATCGTCCTCTCTTACGCTTCCTGTGGCGCAACTTGCAGAGATCAAATCCACCTGATGTCTACGAAAGGCAAGTTTTGCCATTTGGTACAGTATGTAGTCCATGTTGCACAACATATGCTTTACAAAGGCATGTCCATGACTACCAAGAGGGATATTAACATATAGTGAATTATGTACTTCAGTCATTCTATGAGAATGATTGTTTAGAGAGTTTCCCATACGTGCAAGTCGCAAAGAACCACCTTGACCGCAAGCATTTCTTACTGATGAGTGGGGGATTTGAAATCAGGCAGTGGGCAAGTAACCAGCCTGATGTTGTGAGACATCTTCCTTCTGAAGCTAGGTCTGAGAGTGCTGAACTTTGGATCAGTCAAGACCATTTGGATCCAAGAGAAGGAGCTTTGGGTCTGAGTTGGCACTGTCCCTCCGATTCATTGGGGTATTGATCTCGAACTGTGGAGTGTAACGCAACAACGATGCGCAATATCTATAAAGTTGTCACTAGTCAATATGACCCGTTGGGTTATATTACTCCCTTTACAATGTGAGCTAAGGTCATTGTACAGCAATGCTGGATGAAGCCTCGATATTGGGATAATCCCCTTATGCCAAGTCCTATCCAACAGGCCTGGTAGGCTTGGGAAACTAAGCAACCTGATCTGTCATTGATACAGCTTCCCCGCTGTTATTTAACTTTGCCTTCCGAGCAAATTGTATCCAGAGAGTTGCATATTTTTTTGCGATGCTTCAGAGAGCACATATGGGTCAGCAGCCTATTTGCGAAAGGAAACTGACAAGGGCGTGGTACATACTTCCTTCATCATGGCAAGATCTCGAGTTGCCCGAAAAAGGCAAATTTCCATCCTTCACCTTGAACTTTGCGCTGCTCTAACAGGTGCACAGCTCTCCAAACTCTTTCAAAAGGAACTGACTCTTCCCTTGACAAATACTCTCTTATGGTCAACAACTGTTTTGTCTTGGCTGCATTCTCTCTCATGCTGTTATAAAGTTTTCATAGCCAGTTGAGTCACTGAAATCTTGAAATTCACTGATCTGTCTTCTTGGAGATATATTCCATCTGCACAGAGTCCAGCAGATGACATTACTAGAGGCAGAACGCTTGTTGAGCTGGCCAAACCTGATCATAGATGGAGACAAGGTCCATCATTTTTAAAATTTCCTCCACATCAGTGGCCTCAAAATCTAGTGTCCAGATCTGCAAGTCCTGATCCTGAGCTCCGAAAACCACTTTTTTGTGGGTTAACCCAATTGGAAGATATTGTACTCCCAGTCCCTTCCTGTTTCCAGTCATGGTCCGAGTTAAAGTCTGCCAAAACTGAGTTATTGCGACAACATAGTCCGGACACTTGTGACCCCTCAGTCGTTCAAACCCTTCTTTTAAGACAAGCCCAGCAACAAAGTTTCTCCTCTGAGTACCAGTGTTTAAAGGAAGGAAACCCTTTTGAATCTCAAAGTCGTCTCCTTACACTTTCTCCTTAATTCAGAGAAGAAACTGGACTTATTGTAGTCGGTGGCAGATGAGTAGAGGACATGGAACCCGAAATGGTTCATTCAGTCATCATTGACCCCAAGCATCCATTATTTAGTTTAATCATCAAGGACTGTGACAAGAAACTTTTCCATCTTGGTCCAGAGAGAGTTTTTTCAGAACTTCGTCTTAATTATTGGATAATTACAGGGAGAAAAGCCGTAAAAAAAAACATCAGTTGTCTTTTTTGGAATGTAGGAAGTGGAAAGCCAAGCCATCTATCCCTCAAATGTCAGATCTTCCACTCTCTAAGCTCCAGTTGTTCAAACCTCCCTTTTGGTCCACCGGGATGGATTGTTTTGGCCCTTTCCATGTCAAGATTGGTCGTAGAACAGAAAAGAGATGGGGTATTCTGTTTAAGTGTCAGTCTACTCGATGTCTGCATCTTGATTTGTTAACCAGTTTAGATGTGGACAGCTTCTTAATGGCCCTATGCCATTTTATATCCAGGAGAGGTCAGCCGTATGAGATCCTTTGTGACCAAGGAAGTAATTTCCGTGGAGCTGCAAGAGAATTGAAGGAAGCTTTCCGGAACATTACCACTGAGTTACAAGTTAACCCTCTGTGGTCCGAGGGTGTTTTGGGGCCCTGGAGAAGTTTTGACACGCCCTGACATTTGTGCTTTTTTCAGTTGCTAATAAACATTTGAATGGCTAAGTTTAGTAGCACCATAATCAGCACAAACTGGGCTACAATAATATGTGAGCAGCATGTATGTAGAGTATGTGATTGTGTTTTTGAGAAAACAACGTTTATGCGTTCTTAGTGAAAAACAAAAATTTTAAAATCACTGATGTAATGTCAGATTACTTTTATTAGAGAATGAATTATTATTAATTAATTCAGGTTTTGAGAGGACTCGAATCTGAAAATTCGAAGTCAACCTGATTAGAACTGATTTCCAATTTGATAGTTTACACTTTATCAAAGGTCGTCCAGTGAGACGT